TAGGAAAGGGATCAGAGGATCAGAGAGCTGAGGCTCATGCCCAGCAGACGCTCGAGAGATGAGCTCAGAATCAGGCTCTCACAGAAGCTGATACAGAAGCAGACGACTATTCAGACCGCCACGACTTGATGGGGAGCGACTGAGTGAATGGCCGACAGTAATGATGTAAGTCTGTCACGACGTGGCACCCTTCACCGAGTGATGGCAATCTTTCAGGGCGCGATGCGACGGAAAAGTTTGTTCAGCGAAGATATCGTAGCGCATACAGTCGGGAGTGGAAATATGTATGAAAATACTCTTGCTGTACGTGTTGTCACATCCGTATAAGCTCTTGTTCCGTTCAAGTGGATACCGGGCAGCTCCCCTATCTTAAATCTACTAAACTGTAGCATGTGAGAGTTCCAGGAACACATTTATCGACTTCACTCAGTTCCGACGTTGCGTACAAAAGCCAGAATAAGGAGAGCTATTGAAAAAGCCGTCATAAACAAGCAAGCTAGAGACGTGAAACACGTTTTGACAGAGCGAGCACTATCGGGAGGCCAGCGGAGCGAAGCGTTGATTGCAGCAGAAGTTGGCCGAAATCTATCGGTCGCAGAGTCTAACGGGCTGTTGCGCCTTTTAAGTGCGAGAGTTGATGCGCCCATCAAGAAGACGAGTTTGACAGGGATTTCTCCCGCCCACCCGTCCCTAGGATGGCTCCTGTTCGCCATCAATGCATGGCTCAACAACCTACAGAATCTCTCACCTCGCCACTGTCTAAGTGTTCATGCCATTCTGAGTCAAATCTCTTGCAGCTACGATGTCTGACTCTTCGAAGTAGCGCTCGCCACGAAAATACCAACGACGCCTCTGCTCTCGAGCAATGGCGTTTCCGTGCCAAGGTCTTAGCCGGCTATAAACAACATAGTATATGTAGAGGAACGAAGGAGATATAAATTTCTGAACGTTGTGGCTATTTGTATGCCTCAGACTTTCTCGGTCTTCCTTTTCCCCATCAATGAGACTCCATCACGAAACGGGTTTCCTAATGACGCTTACTCTGACGTCGGAGATATATGCCTCGGCCATAGGGGGCAAGCAGGAAGTAGAGGCTGTACAGGGCAGTTCGACTGCCTTCAACTGTACTGTAAAGCAGATCCTCATCGGTCAGTCGGACGAAGGGACAAGGTACTATTTCGAACCTTTGCCAAAGGGTAAAATCGATTAAGCAACGAAGAGGAGACGTCAAACAGTCGATGGCATTGAGTGCAGCTACTCGCAGATCCATCGCACACCAAGTAAGGAAGTGAAGATAGCGAGCATGTGGGTATATACTGTTGACGATAAGAGAGGTTCAGAACGTTAATGGGCACCGGTGGAGAAAAGTCCCGGAGTGTGCTTTGGAACTTTCAAGCCGATTACCAGTCACAAATTCACACCGGAGCCCGACTCCAGCTCTCTGCGACAAGACGACCCCGAAGTCATAACTGCGAATCGTCTTTGTACTGAGGATAAGTT